AGAAAATCTGACTTTCAAATACAAGATTTGAGAAGCATAAAAAGGTAAACAGGAAAGTAATCATTAGGAATTCAATAAAGTTCAACTATTCACATTCCTGTATGGGAAGTTGATACATGTAACTCCTAAGAACTTTCTCATTATTAGGGCAGATAGAAGGAGTGTACATAGACAGAGGGCACAAGTATGAGTTGATTATGTTGGAATGATCTCCCCCTACCCCCAAAATAAAAGAGGGATACCCTTAGAGAAGGAGGAAAGGTATAAGTAGAATGAGGGAATTTTTCTCACATAAAAAAGACATGTAAAGAAATGCTTTTATGTGGAGGGGAAAAACCTCACTCTCATCAAAACTAGTTCAAAGAGGGAAGAATATATATACGTACTCAGCTGGGTATAGAAATCTATCTTAACCCAGTAAGAAAATAGGAGGGGAAGGGGATGAGAGATATTGTTGGTGGGAGGTGCTAAAATGGAGGACAGATTAAGGGAGGCAGTGATCAGAAGCACAATAGACTTTTGAGGAGGCACAGGATAAAAGAGAAAGAGAAGGATAAACAGAAAAAAATAGGATGGAGGGAAATACACAAAAATCATAACTGTGAATGTGAACATAATAAGCTCACTCACAAAACAGAAGCAGATAGCAGAATGGATTAGAAACCAGAATCCAACAATATATTGCTTACAAAAACACACTTGAAACAAAGACACACACAAAGTTAAAATAAAGGATTAAAGTAGAATCTATTAAACTTCAGCTGAAGTAAAAAAGGCAGGAGTGGCAATTGTGATCTGAGACAAAGCAAAAGCCAAAAAAAGCCTAATTAAAAGAATTTTGCTAAAAGGTACCATGGACAATTGTCTATTCAATATCAAAATTTTTTACAGCAAGTTTCTTTGATAAAGACCTTATTTTTCAAATATATAGAGAACTGAAAGGGTATCTAGGTGGCGCAGTGGATAGAGCACTGGCCCTGAAGTCAGGAGGACCTGAGTTCAAATCTGGCCTCAGACCAAACACTTGACATTTACTAGCTGTATGACCCTGGGCAAGTCACTTAACCCCAATTGCCTAAAATATCTATATATCTATATATATATATATGGAACTGAGTCAAATTTATAAAAATAAGAGCCATTCCTCAATTGATAAATGGTCGAAGGATATGAACAGGCAGTTTTCAGAAGAAAAAATCAAAGCTATCTATAGTCATATTAAAAAAGGCTCTAAATCATCATTGATTAGAGATGTACAAATTAAAATAACTCTGTGGTACCACCCCACACCTATCAGAAATGACAAAAGCTGGAGAGGATGAGGGAAAATAAGTACACTAATAAGCTGTTGGAGTTGTGAAGTGATCCAAACATTCTGGAGAGCAATTTGGAATTATGCTATTGGGCTATAAAACTGCATACTCTTTGATCCAGCAATACTACTACAACAACTACAACTACAACTATGACTATTACTACTACTATTACTACTACTCAAGGCCACATGTGGCCCTCTAGGTCCTCAAGTGCAGCCCTTTGACTGACTCCAAACTTCACTGAACAAATCCTCTTGATACAAGGATTTGTTCTGTAAACTTGGATTTAGTCAAAGGCCACCCAAAGGCCACCCAAGGACCTAGAAGGCCACATGTGGCCTCAAGGCTTCTGATTCCCCACCTGTGACTTAAGCTTTTGATCTGCTGTTTCTGACTTAGACTCCTTTATATCTCCTTAGGCCCTTAGATGCACATTTGAGGCTTACCATTTTGGTGCTGGACTTAGCTTAGTCCTACTGCAACCCAAGCTCTAGCAATTCACCAGTTGTAAGTGTGTGACACCAAAGGATCAAATAAAATAATGGGGTTACAAAGGAAACCAATTAACTTGAAATGCAATTATCCAAATTCTGTTTGTTTTTAAAGTACATGGCCCTAGGTTAAGGACTCTTGATGTAGGGAGTAAGTGGCAGAACCAGGATGTGAATAGAAGTCCTCTGACTCCAAATCTAGCTCTTTTTACTATATTACCCTCTCTTCTCTTGTATTGCTTTTCCAACTGCCATGGGTTTCTCCATTGAGTTATCCTATAAAGACTGGCCATTCCTAATTAACAACTTCAAGCTATACACCAATTTTATCCTAGTTCCCCAAAGCTTGTTGTTAAGATCTCTTCCTTCCCCTCCACCCCCACTACCTTTGAAAGCAACCATTCCAATATGTCATCTATCCAACATCTATTCTTCTAAGGTACCCAGGAGTTGTCCTAAATACTAATGTGCTAATGAGAAGACTGAGAAGATTCCTAGAGTCTTCAGGTCTTTATCCACCAGCCCATGACTTAAAAGCCTGAAAAGCCCAGAGCTGAGAAATACTGCCTCATGCCCCTACTTTCTGGTTATTGTCAAGGTTATTCACAATAGAAAACTCTTATCACTTTGGAGTTTATGGTTGTCACAGTGGTGATATTCCATTAGAATTCCATTAGCTCCTTAAGTGTATTATTTTTGCTTTTTTATTTTTTTGCATCCCCATGGCTTAGCAACTTGCCTGGAAAATAGAAAGCGTATTGATCACTTGATGTTCATAGATGATAGGACCACAGATTTAGAGATGAAATGGACATTAGAGGCTATCCAATCCAATTCTACCTCATTTTACAGATAAGGAATCTGATGGTCAGGGAGGTTAAGTGATCTGCCCAAGATCACAGATAATAAGCATTGGCAGTGGAAAAAAGCAGGAAGAGGAGGGAAGGTAGAGGAATAGGAAGAGGAGGAGGAGGAAGAGAAAAACAATAACAACCATCACCTCTAAAATGATGAAGTTAGACTAAATAATCTCCAAGGTCTTCCAGCTCTAAATCCCATGATAATTAACATTCTATATGATGTAAGTTTTACAAAACACTTTCCTCACAATAACCCAGTGTGTCTCTATTTTAGAGATAAGGAAACAGAGAATTGAGCCCAGGACTTCTGACTCTAAGACTAGTACTCTTTTCAAAAATAGATGTTTGGACTTTCACGGCACTCTCATTCCCTCTTACAACCAAAATCCAGTCTCTGTACAATGCAGTGAAAAGCGCTACTGCCTCTGGAGTCAGAGGACCTACCTCTGATGCTTCCCATTTGTGTGACTTTAGGCAAGTCACTTGCCTTTCCAAGGGCCTCAGTTTCTTCTTCTGTGAAATAAAGGGGTTAGACTAAGTGGTCTCCGAGGTCCATGTACTCTTAAAAATATTCTGATAACTGCATTTAAATATAAATAGTTTCTTTTGTCATCTTATGTATTAAAGCTAATTTTAAAACATTATTCTGAGAAGGGGTCCATAGAAGACCTACCAAAGGATTTTAAGACTCAGAAAAGGTTATGACCCCTTGGTCTAGATCTGTGATCCTCTGTCCTATGTGGTTTTGGATCCTTGTTCTTCATTTACTATCTGTCTTGAACAAGTAAGATATTTGATATCAATGGACCTTAGTTTCCTCATCTGTAATATTAAGGGATTGAGCTAGATGCTAGGTAAAAGCCCTTCTGGTCTGAATTTATGATACTCCCCTCAGAGTCTCATTTTAAAGAGAAAAGTAATTACCAAGCTGAATTATAACTAGGAATTCCAACAGCTAGAGCAAATTCATTTATGGGGAAGGATGCCTAAGGTATGACTACTCCTGTGTATAGATGAGATAGATTGGACACAAGAAGTAATAGGGATTGAGGAGGCTAAGGAATTGAGAGGTCAGGGGAGAAGGAAGAGTGGCTTGGAAGTCTATGGACGGCAACAATAAAAAATTGGACTAGACGGAATGAACACTGAAGGAGGAGAAATGGATACTTAGGGATGGTGGCAGAGGAATGGTCTGAAAGCAGCAGGGAGACCAGCTACTATGTTAACTTCTCCGCCTGGCCCTGTGTATCAGGGGGTTAAGAAAAGGAGGAGATGATCATAGATTTCGCACTACAAAAGACCTCAGAAGCTATTTAGTTCAACCTCTTCTTTTTTCTAAAGATAAGGAAACAGACTCAGCAAGTTGAGTGACTGGCCCAAGGTCACATAGATAGTAACTATCTGACTCCAGGTTTCTGACTCTTGCCTCCCATCTGGCCTCGAAAATAATGCCAAGAGATGTGGAGAAAATTAAGTTTCAGTGAGTGTGAGAATATGGAAAGAATATGAGCAGAACAGATTATGATGAAGGAGAATTTCATCAGGCACAGCAGAGAGGGAGGGCAAAGACTGATCTTTCCACTGAGAAGTGGGAGGTAGAAGGCAGCACACACCATGTTAGCTTTTGATCCCCTCAATTATCTCAGGGCAAGGTGGATTTCCAGTCCTGGCATCCTATAAGAGGCATACTGCCTCAGTGGGTAGACTAGACCAGGAAAGGATTATGAAGGCCCTGGGGAACCAAGTGAAGGAGCATATCGGTCACTTGGCACAAACACTCCCGTGCTAATTGTGGCTCTGCTACCAAGTTTCATTTGAAACATAATGCCAGCAAGAACTTTGGCAACTCAACCTTCCAAAAGCTAGGAGATCCTAAGCCACTTAGGAGTGAATTGAACAATTCCTAGATGACTATCTCCTTTAACTTAATCTCTTCCAGACTCAAAGAATCTTGCCAATATCTCCATACTCCCTCAGCCTAGGAAGAAGAGAAGGCTCAGTTCAGGTGTGTTCTGGAATCAGCTCAAAAGGACCCAACTGTTAAAAGTTTCAGTGTGAGTATTTACCCCTTGGAAATCAGCAAATGCTATAAATCAGACCTTGTTTTATTTTGCTGATTGTACAGTCTTAAGAAAGTTATGGAAAAAATGTCAATAATGCAAATTAAAGTTACAAGTCTGTCTTGTATACATTTTCCCCCAGAGAGCTGGCTGTTAAATAATTACCAACATATCTTTGGTTCAGTTCCAAAGTCCAACATGACTGTTCTTTGAACGTTTTCATACCCTCATCATTTCTCACTGTATACTTTCAATAGCTTAGGGAGAGTTTACCTGGCCATATAAGTCTATCATCTTTGTTGTGCATATATTGCGTCTGTGTTCCATAATCCTTTGCTTCACTGTCCATGTCTCCATCACTTTTTTCAGATATCCATCAAGTCTATTCAAAAACACGTAAAGGATCTGGGCTTCCTGGCCTTTCCCAGAATTCCTGATGGCTTTTATTCGATTGACTATGTTTTGCCTTAAAAGAGAAAAGAGAAATTCAACTTATATCATTGATGAACTTTCATATCTTTGACTCCATAAACTGAGAACAATCATATGTATTTCTAGGGCATTTTCACATCTATCATCACATTTTACTGTTACAAGACCCCTAGCAGCTAGGGACAGAGATTATTCTTCCTATTTCATAGATAAGGAAACTAAAACTTGAAGGTGTAAGATTTTTCAGCACCCTTAGATTTGTTCTCAAAAATCTTATCAGTCTCTAAAACTAGAGAATTTCATGTATCTTATTAAAGTCACAACAGTACTGCAAAATTTTTTTTGTAATTTTAACTCCTGGGTCCCATGCTTCTAATAGATCTTTCATCTTATGTTGAAGTGACTTCAGCAATAATCTCACTATGGTCACTCATAGGAACCCTCCCCTCCTTCACACCCTTTCCAGCATCTCTTTATGTGTTATCTTCTCCCATTAGAATGTAAACTTGAATACAAGGACTGTCTTGCTTTTATTTCTGTCTTCCTTCAGTGCTAAGGCACAGTGTCTGGTACATAGTAAGCACTTAAAAAATGCTCTATATATCTATTTATGTAAATGAAGAAATGGAGGGGCTAGAGTTAGCATGAAGGGCCACCTCTACTTCTGAGATCTAAGCAAAGGAAGATAGAGTAGGAGATAATGTTGAGATGATTTTAAGTGTGAAATTGGAGAGGAGTTCCCAACAGATGCCCTCAGTTTTTTTCAGTGAAGTATGAGGCAAGGTCATCTGCTAAGAGGGAGGTGGGAGGGTTGGCATGGGTGGCTTCAGGAATTAAGAGGAGGTTTGGATTAGATTGCAAAGTGAATCAGAGGATCAATTAGGGAAGAATAAAAGGATTAGAATCTAGTAGCAAGGGTTTAGTTGAGATTTTAGTTTGAAATCAAATCACATAAATTTGTAGTGGAATCAGTCAGCATGTCTTTGTGGCTTTCTCCCAAAATCTTTCAGCAGCATGGGAGCAAAAGTAGAGAAGGCAGATGGGAGTAACAGGACTGGGATTTGAAAAGCAATGGGTGTCAATGGGACAATGTAACAAAGACTCAAGGACTGATGGACAGTGTAAACTTGAACTGAATAAAGGGTCAACATTTTGAAGGGAGCAAAGAGAGGCCAGATCTGAGAGGACAACTGGAAAAGCAGGGAAGGGTGGAGTGACAAGAGATTGTGGGGAGGTCAGGAGGAGTGAGGGAGACCTGGAAGGACAGATGGTTATGGTCGGATAGAGGAATTTCAAAGTTGTGAATTGAGTAGGCAGAACACTTGTGGGTGATGATATGATCAAGGATATGAACATTCCTGTATATGGCTAGGGTAGAATGTAGGTATAGATTGTGGGAGTTGAGGAAGTTGATGAATTGGAAGCAAGGGTATTTCATGGGGACAACAACATAAGTACATACTTGACGCTTATTGTGAAGAGGAAGAGTGAATCAGATATTGAATTCCTAAAAGGAAGAGGAATGATTCAGTTAACAAGGATCTAGGCAGGGTGACCTGTCTGGATTGAGCAAACCTCAAAGGAGGAGAGGTTGATGACTGGTGGTGACAAGCGTATCAATAAGGAGATTAGCGGTGTGTTTCAGAGAGAGAGAGAGAGAGAGAGAGAGAGAGAGAGAGAGAGAGAGAGAGAGAGAGAGAGAGAGAGAGAGAGAGAGGTTAGAACAGAGGTGTCAAATTCATGGCTGAGGGCCAAATGGAGCAACAAAACTCCATAGAGCAGGCTGAACTAAATTGAAATGTAATGGGAAATGTTTAACAAAATAAATACAAATACAACATAAATAATGGTTTTCTAAGTCAACTGCAGGGATCTACTTCTATTTAAGAATGGCACTACTTGATTATAATGTGGTGGCTTCTAGAAGCTAAGAGAGTGAGAGTCAAATGGTTTGTGGGAGTATCCAGTGTGGGTCTCAGGCACTATAGAAATTATTTCTAGTGCCTAACCCCATAACGTTGAATTCTTCTTGATTTGGGGAGCATAGAGAGAATGTAGTATTAAGTTGGTGCACAAGGGCAGGTGCCACCAACTGTTAAGATTTAGTATGAGCAGATAAAAGCTAGAAGCCTTCCCAGTAAGATCAGGGGTAGAGCAAGGATGCCCATTATCTCTACTGTTATTTAGTATTGTATTAGAAATGTTAGCTATAGCAATAAAAGAAGAAAAGAAATTGAAGGAATTAGAATAGGCAATGGAGAAATAACCTCATTCTTTGCAGATATATGATGATATACTTAGAGTCCTAAAGAATCAACTAAAAACTACTAGAAATTATTAACAACTTTAGCAAAGTTGCAGGATACAAAAAAACCCCACATAAATCACCAGCATTTCTATATATTACCAACAAAACTCAGCAGCAAGAGATAAAAAGAGAAATTCCATTTACAACAACTGTAGACAATATAAAATACTTAGGAGTCTACCTGACAAGACAAACCCAGGAACTATATGAACACAATGATAAAATACTTTTAACACAAATAAAGTCAGATTTAAACAATTGGAAAAATATTAATTGCTCAGGGGTAAGCTGAGCCAATATAATAAAAAGACAATTCTAAGTTAATTTACTTATTCAGTGCCATGCCAGTCAAACTACCAAAAACATTTTATAGAATTTGAAAAATCATAACAAAATTCATCTGGGAGAACAAAAGGTCGAGAATATTAGGGGGAATTAATGGAAAAAAATATGAAGGAAGGTTACCTAGCCATACTAGATCTCAAACTGTATTATAAAGTGGTAATCATCAAAACTATCTGGTACTGGCCAAGAAATAGAGTGGTAGATCAGTGGAACGTATTAGGTACATAAGACACAGTAGTAAGTGGGCATAATAATCTAGTGTTTGACAAACCCAAAGGTCTAAGTTTTGGGGACAAGAATTCATTATTTGACAAAAGCTGCTGGGAAAACTGGAAAACTATGACAGAAATGAGGTACAGACCAACATGTTACACTGTATACCAAGATAAAGTCAAACTGGGTACATGATTTAGACATAAAGGGTGATACCATAAGCAAATTATGAGAGCAAGAAATATTTTACTTGTCAGAGCTATGCAGAAGGGAAGATTTTATGACCAAACAAGAAATGGAGAGCATTATGAGAAGTAAAATGGATAATTTTGATTATATTAAATCAGAAAGGTTTTGCACAAACAAAACCAATGTAACCAAGATTAGAGGGAAAGCAGAAAGCTGGGAAATAATTTTTACAGCAAGTTTCTCTGATAAAGGCCTCATTTCTCCAATATATAGTGAACTGAATGAAATTTATAAGACTACAAGTCATTCCGTAATTGATAAATGGTCAAAAGATACCAACAAGCAATTTTCAGTTGAAGAAATCAAAGCTATCTATAGTCATATAAAAAATGCTCTAAATCACTATTGAATAGAAAAATGCTAATTAAAACAACTGTTATCATCTTACAGATATCAGATTCACTAATATGACAGAAAAGGAAAGTGATAAATGTTGGAAGGGATGTGGGAAACCTGGGACACTAATGCACTCACTGTTGGTGTAATTGTGAACTGATCCAACCATTCTGGAGAGCAATTTGGAACCACGCCTAAAAGGCGATCAAACCGTGCATATCCTTTGACCCAGAAATACCACTACTAGGTCTGTATCCCAAGAGATTTTTTAAAAAGGGGGCAGAGGGAAGTCCCTATTTGTACAAAAATATTTCTAGTGGCTCTTTTTGTGGTGGCAAAGAATTGGAAATTGAGGGGACACCCATCTACTGGGGAATGGCTAAACAAGTTGTAGTATATGATAGAATACTATTGTGCTGCAAGAAATGACGGGCAGGCTGATTTCAGAAAAACCTGGAAAAACTTAGATGAACTGATACAAAGTAAAGTGAACCAAACCAGAAGAACTTTGTACACAGTAAATGCAATATTATACAATGACCACCTGTGAATGATTTAGCTATTCTCAGCAATACAATGATTTAAGACAATCCCAAAGGATTCATGATGAAAAATACTATCCATCTCCAGAGAAAGAACTGATCGAGTGTGAATACAGATTGAAGCATACTATTTTTCACTGTATTTTTTTTGTTTTTTTTTCTTTTGGTTTATTTCTTCTTTCACAATGTGACTAACATGGAAATATGTTTTACATGATTAAGCATATGTAACCTTTTTCAAATTGTTTACCATCTTAAGAGAGGTAGAAAATTTGGTACTCAAAATTTTAAAAAAATTATATGTTAAAATTATCTTTACATGTAATTGGGAAAAATAAAATGTTATTAAAAAAGATTGACTGTGGGCTATGTTCCAATGCCCTCCCCATGGAATAGGTCCAATATCTGGGGGAAATGATGATAATTTTAATAAATGTTATATTCGAATTTTGTGATTCAGAAACCACAATAGTGTCCACACAGGAAACTAGGTCCCCTGGGGCAGAATGTGGAGTACAAATGGGCTCAGAAACAGGATGCTAGAGGGCAAGTGGATCCCTAACATTACTGGGAAAAGAGTTAAGTAGAACAATGTCAACCAAAGAGCTCTGCAGCATTCCTACAGTCTGTAAAACACATACTAGAAAGAGACTAGAGGTCTCCTTCTAGTATGACATTGATCCATTGGTCCACAGTCATTCAATCAGTGCTAAATCCACCTAATTATATTGTGATCTAGTCCAGATTGCAGACCAGTATGAATAGAATCCAGAATCTAGGCCATACTGCTCTAGGGCATCAGAGAACAGTGGCCAAGCAAGTGAAAGCGAGGTCTTTTTGGGAATTGTACAGGTGTCATACCTCAAAATCTTTCCATGGCATCAAGCCATAAAGTAAATAGTATTCCCAAAAGGAAAAATCTTCAGATTGTAAAGCAACCCTAAAACAAAATAATCCAGCTAGGTGGTACAGTCCTGGAGTCAGGAAGACCTGAGTTCAAATCTGGGTTCAGACACTAGCTGTGTAACCTCAGCTGGGCAA